CTAGATCGAAGAGTACGTTGTGGGTGTGTGTAACATGGGTGAGGAGCCTGGAAAGGTAGGAGGGGGACAGAGTAAGAAGGGCTTTGAACCCCAAAAGGAAGATCCTAAAAGCAATGGGGAGTCACTGGAGTTTATTGAGTAGGGGAGAGAAGGATGTGACGTAGTCTGATCTGTGCTGTAGCAAGACCAGGGTGACAGTTAAATGGAGAATCCTCTGATCTTGAGTGAAGAGAGTACTTGGAGGAATAAATTATGACATCTCACAAGATGACAAAGAAGACTGGGACAAGGTAGAAGAGAGGTAAAGGTGCTGGATGCTAATCCACTGTGGTCTGTGCTCCTGGGTTCAAATCACTTTCTTGTGGATGTCTTTCATGTATGGTCCCATCATCCTGAATGTGTCCTACACATGTGGCTATACCTCTTTGAAAGTGTCTGACCTCACTTCATCTCAGAAGCTAAGAAGGGTCAGGCTGAGATAACATGTGGATAGGAGATTGCCTAGGAATGTTTGCTACTACATCTGAGAGTCAGCACAGTGTAATGCATACAGTACTGGACTTGGAATAAGGAAGGCTTATTTTCAAATATAACCTCAGAAACTTAGTGTGATTCTGGGCAAGTGACTCCATCTCTCTATGCTTCAGTTTCCTTCTCTGCAAAATGGGGACTTTGGTCACAATAACCTGTCAATGGGATTTTTTTTTAATTAGGCAAAATATGTTTTTTTTTTTCCCTCCCAAATTCAGTATATGTCATCATCAGTCCTCTGGAATTATGGTCATTCAGTTGATTAGAATTCTTACAGCTTTAAAAGGTTTTTCTTTTTATATTATTATTGTTAATATATAATTGTTCCTCTTGCTCTGCTTACTTTATTCTGCATCAGTTCATATAAGTCTTTCTGTGTGTCTTTTTAATCATCTATTTCCTCATTTCTTATAACACAAAAATATTCTATTATATACACGTCTGGTAATTTGTTCAGTCCTTTCCAATTGATGGACAACCCTGGAGTTTCTGGGTGGTTTTTCTTTTTTCCATCACAAAAACAATGCTATAAACACACACATACACATATATAACATGTTACTTTTTCCTCCTTTGTGGGATAGCTGAGCCAAAAGGCATGTACTATTCAGTAATTTTGGAGTAGCATTTTCAAAATTTCTTTTTAGAATAGCTAGACCAATTCATAGCTCCTTAAATAGTTCTTCCACATTCCTATTTCCTATAGCCCCTCCATTTTCTCATGTTCTTTGTTTTTTGTCAACATTGTTAATCCGATGATTGTGAGATGGCACTTTAAAATTACTTGAATTTGCATCCTTCAAATAGTAATAATTTGGAGCATTGTTTCACATGGCTATATGTAGTGTAGGTTTTTCCATTGTGAAACTGATTTCATATCCTCAGGCTACTTGCAAATTGGGGAATGGTTCTTATCTCTATAAATTTGAATCAGTTCCTTATGTATGTTGGAAGTTAAAATTTTTACTAGAGAAACTGGCTTCAAAGATATCCCCCCCCCATTGTTTCCCTTTTAATCTTAGCTTAATTTGCACAAAACTTTTACATTTTAATCAAGATTATCTATTTTGTCTTCTGTGATTTTTATAATCCTTGTTTGGTCATGAGTTTTTCTTTTATCTATATACTTTATAGGTAATTTTTTCCATGTTTCTCTAATGTGTTTATGATGTAATTTTTATATCTAGATCACACACCCATTTGGAGCTTATCTTTGTATAAGGTGTAAGGTCTTGGTCTAAAGCTCATTTCTTTCATATTGCTATAAAATTTTGCCAGCAATGTTTATCAAATTTTGAGTCTTTATCTCATCAACTTGAGTCTTTGTGCTCACTGAATATTAGGTTACTAGTTTTGTCTCTGTGGATTATATTCCTAATGTTCTCCTGAATGATATATTGTTAAACCAGTGACCAAGTTATTGTGAGAAATACTGCTTTGTAGTAGTTTGAGATTTGGTACAGCTAAGACTCTTTTGTGCCCAATTGTTTGGTTTTTTTTTTAATTTCCCCTAAGATGCTTATCCTTTTTTCTGCATCAAAATTTTGTTATTATTTTTTCTCATTTTATAGAATAACCCTTTGGTAGTCTGATTGGTGTGGCACTGAAAAAACAAATTACTTCATGTTATGATTTTGATAAAGGCTCATCCTCTCCATGACCAAATAATATTTTTCCAATTATTCAGGTTTGCCTTTATTTCTTTTTTATCTCCAACTATTCTTTATTTTGCATTAATTTATTTTGAATTATCAACAATCACTTCCATAAGCTTTTGAGTTTTAAATTTTTCTCCTCCTCCCTTTCCACCTCCCTCCCCAAGATGGCAATCTGATATAGGCTTTACATATACATTCTTATTAAACATATTTTCACATTAGTGATGTTGTAAGTAAGAATTAGAACCAATAGGAGGAACCACCAGAAAGAGGAAACAAAACACAACAGAAGAAAAAAAATAGCAAACAGTATGCTTCAATATGCATTCAAACTCCATAGTTCGTTCTTTGTGGATAGCGTTTTCCATCATGTGACCTTTAGAGATGTCTTAGATCCTTGTATTGCTGAGAAGGGTTAAGTCTATCAATATCAGTCATCACACAACGTGGTTGTTACTGTGTACAACATTCTCCTGGTTCTGCTCACTTAACTCAGCATCAGACCATACAAGTCTTTCAAGGTTTTTCTGAAGTCAGCCTGTTCATCATTTCTTATACCACCATAGCATTCCATTACATTCATATACCGCAACTTGTTCAGCCGTTCCCCAATGGATGAACATCCTCTCAATTTCCAATTCTTTGCCACCACAAAAAGAGCTGCTATGAATATTTTTGTACATGTGGGTCCTTTTCCCATTTTAATGATCTCTCTGGGATACAGCCCTAGAAGTGCTATTGCTGGGTCAAAGGGTATGCACATTTTTATAGCCCTTTGGGAATAGTTCCAAATTGCTCTCCAAAATGGTTGGCTCATTTCACAACTCCACCAACAATGCATTAGTGTTCCAATTTTCCCACATCTTCTCCAACATTTATCATTTTCCTGTTTTGTCATGTTGGCCAATCTGATAGGTGTGATGTGGTACCTGAGTTGTTTTTGATTTGCATTTCTCTAGTCAATAGTGATTTAGAGCATTTTTTCATATGACTATACATGGCTTTAATTTCTTCATCTCAGAACTGGCTGTTCATATCCTTTGACAATTTAGCAATTGGGGAAGCCTTTTTTTTTTAAGGCAATTGGGGTTAAGTGACTTGCCCAGGGTCACACAGCTGGTATCAAGAGTTTGGTCTGAGGCTGGATTTGAACTCAGGTCCTCCTGACTTCAGGGTTGGTGCTCTATACCACCCCACCTTTATTTCTTTAAACAGTGGTTCATATCTTTATTTATAAAGTTCCTATGTGTATCTTGGTAGGTAAGGCCTTCAGTATTTTATATATTCTGTAGTTTTTGCAGAAGTAATTTCTTTTTCTATCTCTTCTTGCTGAGTTTTATTGGTGTGATATAGAAATGCTTACACTTTGTGTGGACGTGTGTAATATTGCTAAAATTAATCATTATTTCAAGTAATATTTGCTTGTTTCTCCAGGGTCTTCAAGTACACCATCCTATCACTTGCAAAAAGTGATAATTTTGTTCCTCCTTTACTTTGTCTATTCAGAGTTTTTTTTGTCATATTTTTATAGCCATTATTTCTAACAATATGTCAAGTAGATATACAAAAATGAATTTTCATGCCTGATTTTTTTTTTCATTTTTGATTTTGATGGAGAGGAAATTTATGCCCATTACATAAAACGCTCACTCTTGTCTTTGAATATATGTGTATGTGTATATACATGTATGCATATACATATATACATACATGTATATATACACACATATAAACATAGTGTATGTATATGATTAATAGTACACATTTTGTATATATGTGTTCAAAATATATAGTGTTAATCATATTAAGGAAAAGTAAATTTATTCATGTTTTCTAGAGTTCTTAATGGAAATAGCTGTTTACAAAACTTTCTACATCTATTTCTAATAGATTGTTTTCATTTTTTATTTTTAATATGGTTTATAGTTTTCCTAATATTAAATACAGCAATCATGGAATCAATCTGTCTTGCTCAGATCATATAATCCCTGTACTGTTATTTTGGCATTTTTGCTAAGATTTTATTTAAATATTTTTGTATTAATGTTATTAGGGATGTTAATGCAAGGTGTTTTTTTGTTTTGACTTTTCCCATGTATCAAGTTCATATTTACGTATAGAAGGAATTTGGTAAGATACTTTCTTTTGCTATTTCTGCAAACAATGTCTAATTTTGTGTTTTGCCTTTTTTTGTTTTTTTTAAGATTAATTTATTTTTAATTTTCAATATTCACTGCCACCAAATTTTGAGTTCCAGATTTTCTCCCCATCTCATCCCTTCCCCAACCCCAAGACAGCGCGCATTCTGAATAACCTTTCCCCTGATCTGCCCTCCCTTCTATCTCCTCCTTCTCATTCCCTTCCATTTTCCTGTGGGACAGGATAGATTTCTGTACCCCACTGCCTGCATATTTTATTTCCCAGTTGCATGTGAAAACAATTTTTTAACATTTCTTTTTAAAACTCTGGGTTCCAGATTTTCTCCCTTCCTCCTTTCCCACCCACCCTCATTGAGAAGGCAAGCAACTCATACAGGTTATACTTGTGTAGTCATGCAAAACACTTCCATAGTAGTCATACTATCCCACCCATTTATTCTATTCTCTTTTGACTCTGTCCCTCGTCAGGAGTGTTTGCTTCTGATTACTTTCTCTCTCAATTTGCCCTCCCCTCTATTATCCCCCTGCTCTCTTATCCCCTTCCTCCCTATTTTCCTGTAGGGCAAAATAGTTTTGCATACCCAATTGAGTGTGTTATTCCCTCCTTAAGCCAAATCCAATGAGGATAAGATTCACTTATTCCCTCTCTCTCACCTTCCCCCTTTTCCTTTCCACTATAAAAGCCTTGTCTGTTTTATGTGAGGCTATAATCCTATCTCCTTTGACCTTTGGGATATCATATTCCAGTCCCTGCTGTCCCTTAATATAGAAGCTGCTAAATTTTACCTTTTATAAGTGGTCTTCTTCAGTTCTCCTTAATGCTAGTGGCTTCCTTTTGAGATTTCGTTAATTCTTCCTATCAAAGCTCAATACTGCACTAAGACTTTGGGGATATTCTGTATATCCTATTTGTATATAACTCTTTACATGTTATTTCCCTCTACTAGACTGTGAGTTCCTTGAATGTCTTTTGGTTTTCTTAGTCTCCCTAGCACTTATCAGCACAGTGGCTAGCACAGAGCAGGGGTCTCATAAGTAGTCACTCATTTGACTTGTTCTTCCCCCTAGAGTCTGAGCTTGTTCAGAGCAGAGACTGTCTTCTTTACTAGTTGCACCCCCAGCTCTTAGCACAGTGTTTTACACATTGTAAGCACTTAACGAAGGCTTTTTCATTCATTCAGTTGTCTGTTCTTTTCTAGAATTAGGTATGAGTATTTCCAAAGATCAAAGTTTTATACCAAGGCAGAATCTTATAGCCCAGTAACTTGAAGGCCGGCCTTCATTATAAACATGAAGGAACTTTGGGGCAGATAAGTTAAGTGATTTGCTTTAGGTCAGAGGTAGTAAGTGACAGAACTGGGATTTTAAGTCAGGTTCCCTGATTCCAATTCAGAATGTTTCCATTGGACCACATTTCCTCATTCCTTTATGTGATGCTTTGGCTCCTTCTCCTTCCCCAAAACTGGCAATAAGGAGAGCAGGATGTGGAATCCATCTCCAAAGGAATCCATGGTCCCTGGAATTATGGAAAGAGGGAAGATCTCATACCTAACAACTCCAGGAAGGTTCAGTCACTTTACACTGCCTCAGTCCTTTCAAGACAGTAATCTCACCACATAATCAGCATCAGTTTTTTGTCTTCACTAAAGGGCTCAGATTTCAGATTGGCAAGGAAGGACACAGATACTGGAGTACATGTGACTGAGGTCGGAGGGAACTGTAAAAATCCTATTGATTGAAGTGAATTCAAACAGGCTTATTGCTTCAAAACAAGGTTTACACCTGAATTTTAAAAAAAACTAAGCTAAATAATTATAACTGTGGTTACAGGCAACATCCTCCAATTTTCATAAAATGCTTTGGCCATAGAGGACTTTATCAGACGATTTCCTTGGAAGTCATTTCTTTTAAAAACAATAAAACTTTATATGTAGTAGCAACAATGAAAAAATATAACTTTTTAAAAAAACAAATTTTGTTAAACATTAAGGACAAACTAATACAAGCCGGTAAACACATGTAGCAGGGTTAGGAGAACTACTCTCCCAACCCCAAACCTACTTGAAGGTGAGGTTATCAGAGTTGGACTACTCTTCCCCTCAAAGTTCTAGGGGTAATCCTGAAGGGTTTGGGAGTCCCTCATTAGTACAGTAGATTATGAACACCTATCCACTGTGTCTTCCAGAATAACAGTAATCATTGATTATTCCCATATAAGCTAACCAACTGATAATTCAACATAAATTATCCGATTAAACTCTACTATGTTTAACAAAGTGTTACTGAAAACACATGGTAAGAATCAAAGTATGGAACCCTCTGAAATTGGGAGCCATTCTCCTTCACCACTTTGGTGTCTAGGGACACTGTCAAATTGACTGTACCAAGTTCATTACTAGGTGTGGCACAGCTGATGGATTAACCACTCCCTTGTTTGCAAAACATATTTTCTTTGTTCATTCATGGTTGGTTGAGTCATGTAGGCCATTCCTCAGAGTTGCCACAGTTCCTAAGAGACTCTGCTAAGGATTCTACTTACTGTATCTCTGGTGGTTCCCTTCTTTTCTAACTTCACAAGGTCTTGGCCTGGTCTATTCTGTCTCTGATATTCACACATCTAAGATCACGAAAGGATGCAGATGATATAGAAACAGTGGAACCACGGCTGCTAAGGCAGGGGCAGAGTATCTGCAAAGGACTTCCAAGTAAATGGTGATGAGGGGGTCACCAGGAGAACAAGCTACCTATTGGCTGGTCACTCTGCCAACCACAGAAACACCTCAATGAAACAGAACTTTTAAGGGAAACAGCAAGAACGATGGCCTTGAATGATACTGAGCAAAATGTCCAGGGAAACTTGGATACAACACACAAAGTATAGAAGAAAAGAGGGGCAAAGAGAGGGTCACAGGAAAAAGGAAGGCAGAGGTGGTACTGAAAGGACAATAACCAAAAACTGGAATCCATAATGAGCTTTGGCGGATTTCTCCCATTTTCATAATTATGAGATTCTATTGTTCTAGGAAGATAAAACATAATACAATTTAAGTTTTGGTAACATGTAAATACACTAAGACTTCTGAGGCATCCTGTATAATGTAAACTAGAAAGGGCCCCAAGAACATTAGCTAGCATCTTATATCACTTTAGGAATATAAGAGCTGGTTGTACATTTCAAGGTTGAATTGACTTCCCTATATTTATATTATTATTTATGATTCCAAGTCTTTATGGCCCAACAGTGGCTACCCAAATGAATATGATCAGAAGCAGCACCAGCAACATCAGAAACACAGCTCAGATTATGGTATATTCCTCAAGCACTTTCAACAATTACTCATCACTCATTAGGCTCAGGCTCACCTCATGATGTGATCCCCAAGCATCTTGCATGTCATATGCCCAGGGATCAAAGTTAATACTAAGGCTCTCCCAATACTACCAGCAGTAACCTCTGCTCAACCAGCATAACCTTTCCCTCCCTGAAGGTCCATGGGAGGATAAGACTAAATCTTTGCCCCTTTAGAGGCCTCTGCAGAGGTCAGGGTTCTCTTCTTCCATGAAGTCTAAATAAGGACTCTCTGAACTGCATCTAGGGACTCAGAATCACAGTCTAGTCAGCTGGGGGAATCTTCCCTTACTTCTTCCATTCATAAAGAATCATTCTAGTATGAATTCTCTGGTGGACATAAAGTAGTGTCCTCAGTCCAAAGGCCTTCCTACATGCATTACACTGTTGAGGTTTCTTTCCTGAATGAATTCTTTGGTGTTGAGTAAGTTGTATCCTCACTCTGAAGATGTTCCCACATCCATTACATTCATAAGAGTTCTTTCCAATATGAACACTTTGATATCAACTAAGATCTGAGTTGCAGAGGATAGCCTTCCCACACTCTTACATTTATAAAGGATGCCTCCAATACAAGTTTTCTAACACACAGTAAGATGTGCCTTTGTCTTGACAGCCTTCTGACACTGACTACATTCCTAAGGTTTCTCTCCAGTATGAATTCTTTGATGTCGAATAAGTCCTGAGTTATATGGGAAAGCCTTCCCACACTCCTTACATTCAAAAAGAATGTCTCCAATATGAATTTTCTGATGCACAGTAAGTTGTGTCTTAATCCTGAAGGCCTTCCCACATTCACTACATTCATAAGGTTTCTCTCCAGTATGAACTCTTTGATGTCGAATAAGTTCTGAATTGTAAAGAAAGGCTTTCCCACAAGCCTTACATTTATAAAGCATCTCTCCAGTATGAATCCTCTGGTGCACAGAAAGTAGTGTCTTACTTCTGAAGGCCTCCATACATTCACTACATTCATAAGGTTTCTCTTCAGTATGAATTTTTTGATGTTGAGTAAGACCTGAGTTGTAGAGGAAACCCTTCCCACACTCCTTACATTCATAAAGCATCTTTCCAGTATGAATTCTCTGATGCTCAGTATGATGTCCCTTACTCCTAAAGGCCTTTCCACATTCACTACATTCATAAGGTTTCTCTCCAGTATGAATTCTCTGATGCACAGTATGATGTCCCTTACTCCTAAAAGCCTTCCCACACTCCTTACATTCATAAAGAATGTCTCCAGTATGAATTTTCAGATGCACTGTAAGTTGTGAGTTACTCCTGAAGGCCTTCCCACATTCAGTACATTTGTAAGGTTTCTCTCCAGTATGAATTCTCTGGTGCACAGTATGATGTCCCTTACTCCTGAAGGCCCTCCCACATTCACTACATTTGTAAGGTTTCTCTCCAGTATGAATTCTCTGATGCAGTGTAAGTTGGGACTTACTCCTGAAGGCCTTCACACATTCGCTACATTCATAAGGTTTCTCTCCTGTATGAATTCTTTGATGTTGAAGAAGTTCTGAGTTGTAGAGAAAAGCCTTCCCACATTCCTTACATTTATAAAGCATCTCTCCAGTATGAATTCTCTGGTGCACAGAAAGTAGTGTCTTACTCCTGAAGGCCTCCATACATTCACTACATTTATAAGGTTTCTCTACACTATGAATTTTTTGATGTTGAATAAGACCTGAATTGTACAGGAAACCCTTCCCACACTCCTTACATTCATAAAGAATGTTTCCAGTATGAATTTTCTGATGCTCAGTATGATGTCCCTTACTTCTGAAGGCCTTTCCACATTCACTACATTCATAAGGTTTCTCTCCAGTATGAATTTTCTGATGCACAGTAAGATGTTCCTTCCTCCTGAAGGCTTTTCCACATTCACTACATTCATAAGGTTTCTCTCCTGTATGAATTCTTTGATGTTGAACAAATTCTGAGTTGTAGAGAAAAGCTTTCCCACAGTACTTACATGCATAAAGAATATCTCCAATATGAATTCTCTGATGCACTGTAAGTTGTGAGTTTTTCCTGAAGGCCTTCCCACATTCATTACATTCATATGGTTTCTCTCCAGTATGAATTTTTTTATGTTGAAGAAGTTCTGAGTTGTAGAGAAAAGCCTTCCCACACTCCTTACACTGATAAACAAACTCTCCAGTATGAATTCTCTGATGCACAGCAAGATGCTCCTTGCTCCAGAAGGCCTTTTCACATTCATTACATTCAAGAGGTTTATCTCCAGTAAATTCTCTGTTCTCTGAAAGGAAGAATAAAGAGCTGATTAAACTGGCCTTTTTTTAACCCTTTCCCAATGTTCTTAGCTGTTCAAAGGTTTTAGAGCTGTTCTCTTGCCTTCTCACTTGAGAAGACTAGTCTTACTAGTCTTTCACTAAGGATCAATTTATCTTATGTGAAAGTTTGATGACTCAAAGGTAACCTATGTAAATGAATTCATCTGGGATGAAGTTACTGGAGGGGAATGAATGAACCCTTACTCTACTTTCATTGACTGGTATTTGAATGGGATAAGACTATTCAGAAAAAAAAACAGATGACTTTGAGAATTTGCAAATATATCCTCACCTTCTTAGATGAAAATAGGAAGGGAAAAGACTGAACAGAAAGAAAATGGAAAAACTGAGTTTACAGTAAGGAAGAGACATAGATACATGAAGTAAACAGAATAAAGGAGAAATACGAGAAAAAAAATGTGAACAAAATCCAACATATCTACTTTGTAAGGAATTGATTGAAGTTCATAAGAGTAAGACATACAGGTATTTTTGACAAAAGAAATTCTTAATTGCCTGAAACAGTATTTAAACTCTGATAATCAAAGAAATTAAAAGGAAAACATTAGGAAGTATCAATAAATAGCCATTAGATTAGCAAAGATTCTTTAAAATGATAAATTTTGGCAGTTATGTTGTCATTGGTATTTGTTACTGCTGCCATTTTTCTTAAAAGTAACATAGCAATTTTACCTAGTGGTACAAAACTGTTCATATCATTTGACACAAGGGTCCCACTACTAGGTCTGCATCCTTAAAATGTTACCAAAAACAAAGAATTCTCTATATTTTTCACAACTTTTTGTGAAATAGCAAAATAACCAATACCTATAGGTCCAATACTGGCGTTATGGCCACACAAGTCCTGTCACATAAACATATTGTTATGCCTTTATAAACATAATTTCAAAACATAAAGAAAAACAAGACGACACATAAGATCACAGACTGAAGAAAGGGGAATTAGGATAATTAGGATTATTATTAAACACTTAGGATTAAATATTTTAAAAAGCAACAGCAGCAAAGGAACATAATCATAAAAACAAAACAGAAGGAATTATCAGAAGAGAACTCAGAAGCAAAAAGAGTACATTACTTTATAACTTAAGCAATGTGCACATTTTAAAAGGGAGAATGAATTCATGCAAGTGAGGCAGGAGAATGCCTACTTACAATAAGATAATCTTCAATGAACAGAATAGAAATAACTGCCCTATACTGAGGCAACAAATTTCTTTGAGAGTAGAGGTACATTTCAGTAAAGAGATACACAAAAAAAGTAACTTTTTGAGGTTAAAAAAAACGAATTTTTTAAAGTCTCAGCTCCTCTCAACTGGCCTGAGAAACTTTGATAAACCACTTTGTTCCATATTTTACAAGAGCTTTGACCTAAAATGAACCACAGATCAGTATTTTGCAATAACCCATCTGGTTGATTTTTATGTAGTCACCTGGAAAGCTGCTTCTTGGAATATCTGCCTCTGGTATCCAAGATGTTTCCTTTCTTTCCATCTGGTAGATCACATCTGGTTTAGAAACTGCAAATCCTGTTCATTGAAAAACAGAATGTGCTAGGGAGTCATTTCAGAGTTCCATCATAAAACAGATAGATGAAATACTCCTCTCAACTCTAGTAGAACGGTGAGTGTTAATAAGGGCACTGAATGTATCTTATACCACCAAGGACACTATGTTAGCTCATTTTGAGATTTTTTTTCAACTGGGGGGGGCTCAGTGGGCTGGCTGAAGGGAGAAATAGGGTTTTTTCTCTATTTACAGTAGCAGAAGGAGGAGAAATTAACCTTTTTTAAAGCTTAATAAAAGCCTTTAGAGCATAAAACTTAATAAAAGAACTCAAAACTAGCTCAAGCCCTCTTTAGGAAAAAATAGGCATGCTAGGTACCTCAAAGATAGTACAAAGGACCACCAAAGGATATTCTGTATTAAGGTAGAATGGATTACTGAGTAGGACTTAGGAAAAAATAGTTCATTTGACTCATTGCCTACCTAGACAGTGGGAACACTGTGTATGATGAAACCTACATTGGGATTAAAAAGAAAATCTTAAAACTGAAGCAACAGAGAGGGGAAGATACATTCTCAAGAATAACAAATCAATTTCCAGGCATACTTCTTTCCTGGAAACAGGTAGCACAAGTAATCTGTCTCTTGGCTCCAAAAGGATTAAGAATATTTTCCTCTTGTATGCCAAAGAATAACTGCTAAAATCTTGAAAATTGTCACAGTGTATATCAAGACTCCAAAGGGGTAGCTGTTCTTACCCAAAGAGACCAAGTTCCTATAGTTCTCCAGCATCACATCCCTGTACAGCTTTTTCTGAGATGGGTTCAGCTGCACCCACTCCTCCTGGGTGAATTCCACAGCCACATCCTTGAATGTCACTGATTCCTGAAACATCAGAAACATTTGTGCTTACTCAGTTATAACTCTGTTACAAAGCTCAAATGTAATCTGCTTGCCAGCAGAGTGAGGGAATGCAGGGCATTAGGACAGCAAATGGTACAAGGAATTGAGGCAATTGAGTCAGCTCCATTTTGTGACTCAATTCTGGGGTAGCTCAGTTCTTTTTCTTTTCAATTATAGGTCTAGTCCAACTTCTGTCATGTGAGAAAAATTTATTTAATTGTGGGAATTGGGAGAAAACCTTATTGCATTGTTTGAACCTAGCCTTGTGTGGCTGAGAAACAAGACCTAATCTACCCACTATTTAGTCCTTAAGGACCTAGGTTATGGTGATCAGAAACCCAGTCGGATCGAAAAAGACTGATGTAAGGAATTTTCTCACAATTGTATATCTCAAGCAACCTGTGTGTCTTATCTAAAAACTGAATCAATACTAACCAATTACTTATCATTTCCATGTTCCTTTGATTGTATATAGACTCTTACGGGGAGTGGGACACCTCATTTTCTGAATTCAGGGAACTGAACCTGTTGCTTTTCCCTCTCCCAACATGGAAAGTTCCCAATCTTTCCTCAAATTAGAAATAAGATTGCCTAATATTCTATTATTTGCTTTTAATTAACTGATTTTGATTATTTTAAATGTATAAAAGTACATCACCCCCTATATTGAGGGTCCAGTCCTAAGTTGAGGAAGGGACCTGGTCCCACTTTGTTGTGCAATTGCCATGCATTGCGATATGCCCAAAGGATTGAACCTTTGTTTCCTCAGTCATTTCATCTTTCACTTGCCACAAGGGATTGTTTCATTTATTTAATTGTATCGCAGTTACAGTGTCTGGTATATAGCAGGCACTTAAGAATTCCTCTCCCAGAAAGAACTGATAAATAGAAGTATTGATAGATTGATTTTGCATACACACACTTGTATCTAATGGTAGCCATCTCTAGGGATGGGTGGGAAAGGAAACAAATTTATATAACGTTATTATATATTTAAAAGGAATAGCAAGTTGCACACAACAGATTTGCAGTTTCATGTGCAATCATCTTTTTAAATGATATTATGTCTTGAAAGTGCTTATTTTATTCAATAAACTAAAAATTAAATGAATAAAAATTTTTTAACAAGAATTCCTCTCTGATTGGTTTGTAAGCTCCTTGAGGGCAACAGCCATTATTGCTATCGTTTGTATGCTCCACTTAGCACAGTGCCTGGCACTTTGTAGGTGCTTAATAAATGTTTATGTTGTAAATGGTTCCAAAGACATCCATTTTAAATGTGTGTGTGTTTTTTGTTGTTTTTTACAATGTGTACCCAAGGCTCCTACTTCTTCCCTCTGAGCTGAAGAAGTAATATGGACAATTCCTTTTCTACTTGCAGAAATAAACAATGAAAATGAAATAGTTGAAGATAGAGCTATCATGTGGTCCTAAGTCTCTCTTTCAGACTAAACAAGCCCAGTTTCTTTGACCAATCAGCCTGATCTCTTTCCACTCAATCACTGTGGTTCTTAAAATGTGCTGCTCTCAAATGACCATAATTGTGTTCAATGATCCTGGAGCATTTGCTCATAAGAGCAAAGGCAAGCATGGGGGACTACAATTTCCTATCTGTAACAGCATAGGAACATTTTTTTTTTTACTGCTGAAAAGGGTGTTAAAGGACCACAACTTTCTAGTTCATGTATTGAGAGCTGGAAGACACTTTAGAGTCCAGTTTTCTCATTTTACACGTTAGGGAAGTGAGGCCCACCCAGAGAGGGAAAGTGACTTGCTTCAGGTTGAAAGGAGTAAATGGTAGATTGCACTTTGAGCCCACATCCTCCCAGCTTCAAATCCAGGGCTATTCTCACTGTACCATGTTGCCATTCCCTTTTGGTATCACCCGACCAAGGCCACAATTGAGTTTTTGGACAAAAACATTCACAAGAGCACTCTTTGGGGTAGCAAAGAATTGGAAACAAACTGAATTCTTAGCAGTAAAGAATAGCTAGAAAAAATGGCACGTGAATAACACTGTCATTTATATAATTAAAAATGACAAATAAGAAGAATTTTGAGGATTGGAAGATAGGCATTAGCTGACACAGTGTAAAATAAGCAGAGCCAACAGAACACAATACACAAAAATTACAAAAATATAATTTAATAACAAAGAAAAAGATGCTGAACTCTAAGTAATTATAAAAAAAGTTGAACATATCACATCACATCAGACTTATGGCTAGGTGAACAATTTATAAATAAACAAGAGATAGCAATGTCAGGTATAAAATGGATAATTGTAAGTACATTAAATTAAAAAGGTTTTGTATAAATAAAATAAATATAGCAAGATTAGAAGGAAAGTAGAAAGTTGGAGAAAAATTTTTATGGACAGTTTATCAGATAAAGGCCTCATACCTAAAACATATAAAGAACTTTGTCAAATCTATAAGAATATGAATCATTCCCCAACTGATAAATAGTCAAAGGATATGAACAGGCAGTTTTCCAGTAATGAAATCAAAACAATTTATAGTCATACAAAAATGCTCTAAATAATTACTGGATTGGAGAAATGAAAAGTGAAACAACCTTCAGATATCATTTCACACCTATCAGATTGGGTAAAATGACAGAAGTGGAAAGTGCCACATGTTGGAGAGTATGTGGAAAAATTGGGACACCAATTGATTGTTGGTGGAATTGTAAAATGATCCAACCATTTTGGAGAGTAATCTGGAATCATACATAAAGAGTTATTAAAATACCAATATGCTTTGACCCAGCAATACCACTACTTGGTCTATATCCAAAGATGACTGGAGAAAAAGGGAAAAGAACCTGTATGTTCTAAAATATTTATAGCAGCTCTCTTTGTGGTGGTAAAGAACTAGAAATTACAGGGATGCCTACCAGATGTGGAAGGGCTGAACAAGCTGCGTTATATGATTGTTGGAATACTACTGTGCTATAAGAAATGATAAGCTAAATGATTTTAGAAAAACATGGAAAGACTTTGACAAAATAATGAAGAGCAAAAAGTGAACAGAACCAAGAAAATACTGTATAGAATAACAGCAATATTGTTTTAAAAATGACTCTGAATGAATAAGTTATTTTGACTATTATAAAAATACCCAAATTAACAATAAAAGGACATATGAAGATGCCATCTGCATCTACAGAAAGAACTGATAAACAGAAGTATATATAGATTACACCCCCCCCCCATTTGTGTCTAATGGTAGCCATCTCTAGGCTGGAAAGGGGAGGAAAGAAAAAAATTTACTTGATAATTTTATTGTATATTTGAAAGGAATAGCAAGTTATGCATAGCAGATTTGCAGTTTCATGTACAATTATCTTTTTTATTGTACTTTGTTATGGAAATGATTGTTTTATTCCGTTAATTAAAAATAAAATAAAATGAAAAAAACTGTTGCCACTTCTGATAGCCGAGAAGATGGAGACCACTAGAGGAGAATGTTTTATGAACTGTCAGGTAAAGTCACTGGTACTTTTGTACAACTACTTCTTTGGTATAAAGGAGGATAAAATTTGGAGGGTGAAGGAAAGAGGTCTTTTTCCAGAAATAACTGGTGAAATAGCACAAAGCCTTATAGAAGAAATAAAAGAAAGCTTTCTAATTGCTCTCTACCCACTCATTTACCGGTGAACTCTAGGAATGTGCCAGAATTAAAAGTCATGAGCCTAGGCTTTGCAGAATCTATCCCCTCTTTTTAGAAACTTCATAAATGTCCCCTTTTCCAATCCAGTAGCACCTTTCCTTCTACCCTGCCCCTCACCCCATCATAAAAAGAGAGAGTGACTATCAATCCAAATAAAGATGGTAAAATAAGAACAGTTTGGGCACAAGGACTTTGAGAAAAGTTGGAAGAAAGTGTTTCTCCCCTCAACTCCATTTATGTCAGGCCTTTCTCTCCTTGCCTCAGCTATTATTATGAGTCATTTGGAATTGTCTTGATCATTGGCTTGGAATATGATATTCTGGAAGGAAAAGGAGCTTGGATTACAAGCAAGAATCAATTACCCAGCAAAACTGAGCATAATCTTTCGCGGGAAGAGCTGGATATTCAATGAAATAGGGGACTTCTGGTCATTCCTGATGAAAAGACCACAGCTGAACAAAAAATTCAACCTCAAAATAAAAGACTCAAGAGAAGCATAAAAAGGTAAAGAGGAAAGAAAAAAACATGTTATTCAACGAGGTTAAACTTTTTGCATTGCTATATGCAAAGATGATATTTATAAGTACTGAGAACTGTACCTTTATTAGGGCAGTTAGAAAAGAAATACATAGAAGGTGTGAGTAACAGATCATTTTGATATGATATGAAAAAAATTAAGGGATGAAAAAAAGGATTATATTAGGAGAAGAGGAAAGGGGAGGTAAAATAGGGTAAATTACATCACATGAAGAGGTGCAAAAGACCTATTACAATTGAGGGACTGAAGGTCCTTCAACCTCCCCCTCTCAGAATTGGAGAAATCTAACCACAAAATGTAGAAGTTAAGGAGGTGAACAGAATTTTAATAGAATTAGAAGCTTTATTGCATCATGATCCTTTCTGCATTGGATTGTGAGGTTTTTATGCCCAAATACATGATCAATTTTTGTGTAGGTGCCATGTACCACCGGGGAAAAGGTATATTCCCTCTAAGGGCTATATAACTGTGCATACCCTTTCATCCAGCCATACTGCTTCTAGGTGTCTATCCCAACGAAATCATAAAAAAGGTAAAAAGGACACATGTACAAAAATATTTATAACAGGTCTTTTTGTGTTGGCAAGGAATTAGAGATTGAGGGGATGGGCAATGGATGAATAAGTTTGGGTATATGAATGTAATGGAATACTACTGTTCTATAAGAAATGATGAGTAGGCAGATTTCAGAAAAACCTGAAAAGACATACATGAACTGATGCTGAGTGAAGTGAGAAGAACCAGGAGAACATTGCACACAGTAATGGCAACACTATTTGATAATTAACTTTGACAGACTTAGCTCTTCTCAGTAATACAATGATCTAAGACAATTCCAAAGACTCATGCTAGAAAATGCCATTCCACTTCCAGAGAAAGAACTATGGAGTCTGAATGCGCATCAAAGCATACTATTTTCACTTTTTTTGGTTTTTGATTTTTTTCTGTCTCATGGTTTTCCCCTTCTGTTCTGATTCTTCTCTCACCACATGACCAATGTGGAAATACATTTAATACGCTTGTACATGTGTAAACTATATCAGATTGCTTGCTATCTAGGGGAAGGGGGAAGGAAGGCTGGAGGGGAAAAAAGTTTGGAACGCAAAATCAAAAGAGAATGTTGAAAACTATCTTTACACGTAATTGGAGAAAACAAAATACTATTAAGTGGAAAAAAATTTTTAAATGTTTATATCTCTTTCAAATTGGTCAAAATCTTTTCCCCCCCTAATTTTTCCTTGATCTCTCTTATTTGATTTTTAATTCCTTTTTAAATTCATCCAAGAGCTCATTTTTGGGTTTGTGATCTTTTGACATTGCTCTTTGGGGTTGAAGTGGCTTTTTTCACCTCACTATTTTCCCCTAAATATGAACCCAGGTGTTCTTTTTCACCAAAGTATCTATCTATGATTGGGTTTTTTTCCCTTTGCTTGCTTATTTTTATTTTTGGCAGTTTATTCTTATAATCAAATTTTAATCCCAAATTGTGGTTTTCCTTACTATTTTTTTAATTCTGTCAAAGAGCTCACCAGGGATTCCTCTCTTCGACTGAATTAGTTATAGCACCAGCCACATTGCCTTGAAAGTGTTCTTGCTCCCTGTGGCACTGCACTCACAAAGCATGTGCTCGCCACAGCCCCAGACAGCTTCTGGTCAGCACCGCTAGGCTGAGGCTCTGGAAACAGCAGGGAGGGAGGGGGAGCTTTAGTCTTCCTGCACTCAGCCATCTGCTTTCCCTTAGACCAGAGTCTGAGGTACAAGTCTGTGAGGCGAAAGTCCCTGAGGCTGAGCTGTAAAGTGAAATTTCCTAAGGCCTAGTGTGCCTCCTGACAGAGCTGATGCAAGGCCTGACATTCGCTGGTTCAGTGGAGTCAGCCTGGAGGTAACTGCGCTTCACTCAGGCCAAGCCTCAGTCCTCTGAAGCCCTCTCTTGTCTGAGGTCCTCTCAAGCTGTCTTAGGAGGACGACCGCTTCACTCCTTTATTTGCTGCTCTCCATTCATTTCGTGGCAACTTTCTGTCTGTTTGTAGAGGAGATCGGGAGAGCCCGGAAAATTCCGACCGACTCCACCGTCTTCCAAGAGTGAACAATATCAATACTGAGTCTATGCACACCAAAGAGTATAGCATCTAAATGCTAACAAAAAAGTCAGATGAATTAGAAGGAGACGCAGAGAGTAGCACTGCAACAGTTGGGGCCTTCGATAATCTTCCCCTCTCAGAATGAGGCCAATCTAACCCAGAACTAAATAAGAAGCAGGTCAAGGAAGCGAGCAGAATCTAAGACAAGCCAGGTATGACCCGTGTCTGGGAAGAATTCAATGGAGACAGACAAGACGCTGCCCTTTCCAGCAGCCGACAGAACCTTTACAAAGCCTGATCATGTATCAGTGCATAAGCATGTTGTAGCCAGAAGCAAAAGACCAGACACGTCAAGTTTCCTTTTCAGATCACAAGGCAATGACATCATGCTGAATAAGGGACCACAGAAATGCGTATCGAAAACTGACTGGAACTGAAACAGTCTTATCTTAACGAATGAGGGGGTTAAAGAACAAAACGATAATTTGACTGAAGAAAATTACTGAAATGAGACAACACATTCAAACCTATGGAAGACAGCAAAAGCAGGAATCAGAGCAGAACGTATATCTCTAAAATGTTTGCATCAACAAAACAGAGAGAGAGAGAGAGGGCAGATGGATTGTGTGTCAATATCCTAAAAATTAAAAATGACATTAGTAGAATTGAGTGTAAAAAAATCCACTGACAGAGACAGCTAGGCGGTGCAGTGGATAGAGCACTGGCCCTACACATTAGACTTGACATTTACCAGCTGTGTGACCCTGGGCAAGTCACTTAACCCCAACTGCCTCACCAAAAAGCAAAAAAAAAAGGCCACTGACTTAATAAATAAAACTAGGAGTTGGTTTTATGAAAAAAACAAATAAAATACATAAACAATTGGTTAATTTGGTTATGAGAAGAGAAGAAAATCAAATCACTAGTACAAAAATGAAAAGGGTGAATATACCACCAACAAAAATGAAATTAAAGCAAATATAAGGAATTATTTTGCCCAATTGTAGGCCAAAAAATTTAACAATTTAAGTAAAATAGGATATTTACACAAATATAAATTGTCTAGATTAGCAGAAGAGTAAACAAAATACCTAAATAGACCTATTTTAGAAAAAGAAATTGAACCAAGACCAGATGGATTTACAAGTGAATTCCATTCAATACTTAAAGATCAATAAATTACAATATGAAATAAATTATTTGGAATAATACTTAAGCGATCCTATGAAACTCCTCTTATGAAATAAATATGATACTGATGCCAAAACCAGGAAGAGTAAAAACAGAGAAAGAAAATTACAGACCAATTTCAGTAATGAATATGGATGCAAAAATTCTAAAAAAAATACTAGCTAAAAGATTACAACAACATATTACAAAGCCTATACAATATGATGAAGTGGGATTTATACCAGGAATGCAGGGATGATTTGACACAGGGAAAACTACTAAAATGATTAATTATATCAATAAAAAGTTTTTTTTAAATCATACAATTATATCAATACATGCATAAACACTCATTTCTATTAAAAAATACCTGATATAAATGGATATTTCCTTAAGTCGATTAAAAAAAAGTATTTATCTAAAACCATCAGCAAGCACTATTTGTAATAGAGATAAACTAGAAGCCTTCCCAGTAAGATCAGGTGTGAAACAAGGATGCCCACTGTCACCAGTATTATTTAGTATTGTATTGGAAATCCTAGCAATAGCATAAAACTAGCTAAAAGATTACAACAACATAAGAGAAGAAAAAGAAACAGAAAGAATCAGAATAGGCAAATAGGTAATAAACTATCTCTTTCTGCAGATGATATGATGATATACTTGGAAAATCCCACTTACTTTACTTCAAATAATTAATAAAGTAGCAGGTTATAAAGTAAATCCACATAATGCATCAGCATTCCTACATATCATAAACAAAACCTTGCAAGAGATAATAAAAGATATCCCATTTAAAGTAACTTTAGATAGTATAAAATACCTGGGAGCACACCAGCCAAAACGAACTCAGGAATAAAATTATTAAAAATTTTTTATACAAATAAAATCAGAATTAAATAACTGGAGGAATTTTAATTATTCATGGGTAGGCAGGGCCAATAAATAAAAATGACAATTTTGCCTAAATTAATTTATATATTCAATGCCATCCCAATTATATTAACAAAAAATTATTTTACTGAATTAGGAAAAATAATAGCAATGTATTTGGAAGAGCAGAAAGTCAAGAATATCAAAGGAACTAATGAAAAACATGTCAAGGAACGAAGTTCTGCAGTACCAGACTATATTATAAGGCAGTAATTATGAAAACTATCTGGCATTGGCTAAGAAAAACAAAGGTAGATCAATGGAACAGAGTAGACATACAATTTACAGCAAAAAACATAGTAACCTTGTATTTGACAAGGATAAAGCCTTAAGATTTGGGGATAAGAATTCATTATTTGGTAAAAATTGTTGGGAAAACTGGAAAGCAGAATGGCTGAAACTGGACATAGATCAATATATTACACCATTTACCAAGATAAGCTCAAAATGGATACATGACCTAGATAGAGAGATATTAAAGAAAATTAGAATATGGAACATATTACTTACCAGAATTATAGACAAGCAAACAATTTATGAATAAACAAGAGATAGAGTAGTGTGATGTGTAAACAGATAATTTTGATTACATTAGGGTTTGTACAAATAAAACACACATTGCTAAGATCAGAAGGAAAGCAGAAAACTGGGGGAAAAAATTTTATAGACAGTTTCTTAGGTAAAGGTCCTATATCTAAAATATATGAAGAACTTTGTCAAATCTATAAGAATATGAATCATTCCCCAATTGATAAATGGTCAAAGCAGTTTTCCAATAAAGAAATCAAAGCAATTTGTAGTCAGAGGGAAAAAAAGAGAAGGAAGAAAAAAAGAAATTTACATAACTTTATTAGAGATTTAAAGGGAATAGCAAGTTGGAAATGCTTATTTTATTCCATAAATTCAAAATAAAATCAATAAATGTGAAAAGTGAGATGAACTAGAAGACTGGGCACAGTAGCAGCAGTAATGATCAACTGTGAAAGACTCAGCTACTCTGATGAGCAAAAAAAATCCATAAAAATTTCAAAGGACTAATTATAAAAAATGAAAGGAGAACTGATGGACTGAGTGCAGACTGAAGCATATTCTTTTTCACTTTCATTTTTCTTATATACTTTTTTCGGACTAGTGCCAATATCGAAATGTTTTGCATTGCTTCCAAGGAAAAATGGATTTCCCATTGTTTGCCTTCTCAGTGGCTGGAGGAAGGACTGGAGGGAGGGAAAGAATTTGGAATTCAAAATTAGAAGGAAAAAAAGGCAACTATAGCCTTTTTTGAGGGAAAGGATAAATTGGTGTCTCTGGTTATATGATTCTCTGATGGCCACAATTCCTAGTGTTACAGCACAGGACAAAGACACTTATCCCAAGGTCTCTGACCTGAGATGCTATTTGAGGAAAGCAGCAAGTGGCACTCACCTTCCCGGGCCTGGCTGTCACGGCAGGAGCCATTCCCTCCTCCTCCAGGCTGTTCTGGGGCAGAGCAGAGGCCACAGAAGGCAGAGCTGGGGAGGAAATGAGAAGCAGGAGAGTGAGGGGTCACGCCGGGGGTCTGCCCTGCTCAGACCAGACGTTCCCACTTCTCCACAGCGGGGAGATCGGGGAGGGGGGCAGGGGCTGGGGGCCGGGATGGGAGGGAGCCGGAAGGAATAGGTCATTTCTCTCCTGGGGGAGGGGAGGCTGTCTAGGGGCCAGCATCTCTTTAGAGACAAACTGGAGGACAGACAGATGACCCTTTCAGCAGGGGGAGGGCACGGGGCCCCAGCAGCATCAGGGAAGGCTTCCCAGAGGAGACGCTACCCACGAGGATGCTGGGAGGAAGAGATAAGGACAAGGGAAGTCCGCACCGAGGATCAGACAGGCTCACACCGGGAGCATCTTCCCTGGGACTCTGGGCACAGGGCAAGGCCTGAAGCCTGGAGGAGCAGGCCCTGACCAGGGCCACGGGATGCGGGAGTGACTGAAGAAGGATTAGACCCCGCCCCCAGGCTCCGCGTCCGCCTGCTCGGCCTCCAACCCCGCCCCTCCCCCCGCACGGGCCGCCCCCAGACCCCTAGGAGCCCCTCGGGGGCTTCCTGCCTCCCCTGACGGACTCTCCTCCCATTCTCTGGTTGCTCCCCAGCCAGCCCCCGGTGCTCCGATCCCGCCGCACCCCCGCAGCCGGCTCCGCCTGGGCCTGGCCCCGCTCACCCCGTCACACTTCAACTAAGGACAAAGAAGGAAAAGAAGCCACAATCAACCATTAAAGAGGCTGAAAGTGGGATGCCGGAAGTTACGTAAGGGACAACCCGCCCTCTCTTCCGAAAATGCCCCTGAGGCGAGCACGGCCTTCTGGGAATCGTAGTGTGGAGGCTGAGGCGCCTTCTGCGCATGCCTACGGCCAGCCCCTCCCCCGGGCTGGAATGCTGTCCTGTCTCGCTGCTTTCCCCGCCCTTCCTGCCAGGAGCCCCGCCCCCTCCGCTCCTCCTCTTACCTCTTGCGTGGTCTTCACAGCCCTAGAGCCCAAGAGGAATTACCAGGCGTGGGGTCGCAGACCTCGAGGGGCCCTGGGGCTCCTCCGAGGCTAGTCCAGCCCGCAGTCTCTCTCACTCCAGCAGCCAGTAACAACAGGCCGCAGCTCTAATAAAATGCTTCCCCTGCGCCGGCATCTTCCCGCAGGAAGTGACGCACACACGCAGGGAAGCGACGGCTCTGAGGAGGGAAACCACGGGCTGGGGTTGGATGCCCCGAGCGCTGGCTCAGCCCCCTGGGGCTGCTTCCAGGAGGAGCAGGACAGGAGTGGGCCCAGGACGGCAGGAGAGGTCAAGGGGGCTCGGCCACCTGCTGGGACCGCGGGAGGACGGAAGGCTTTGCTTTGGCCTGGGCTGTGTTTTTGGAAGGTGTTCACAGGATTTTGTTGAGCCAGTCTCTAACCTTAGAATGACGAAACAAGGGGCCAGAGACAAAGTGCCAGTGATCAGGGAGCCTTTTAATTAGTTTAATTTTGAGGAACAGATTTGCAAATCTGCAGTCTTCCTGATAGAATTCCACCTTGCTGAAGTTGGCCAAGTAATCTGGGGTCACTGAAGGAGGGATCTAAACTCCAGGGGACCTGCACCATGTGGGCAAAAGAGAATGGAGTCTAGATAGGATTAAGGGTGGGAAAGGGCCCAGAGTCCATCAGGGAGGAAATAGAAAATAGAGGGTAATAGACCATTGGGAGATTGGGTTTAGGCGATAATGAAAAGCCAGTAGATAGGATTGTAGCCTCAGTGAATGCCATAGATTTGGCCATGTGAGAAAGTCCAGGGCTTTTCCGTTTTGGGGTCCAGGTCGCAAAGACACGGTCTCTTCCTTTTAGGGGTTGAGATCCCATCATCAAAGTGAAGGCAGAGATATATATACATAAGTCACAAGTGGGAGGGGGGGGAGGTGGATTACAAACAATGGTTTAGTGGTTCACCAGGAGAAATTGACAAATCCCACAATATAATTCTGGAGTCAAGACTTTGGGGTCATGACCACCTTCCCTAGGGGCACAGCATTAAAGTTCTGTGACAGAAACAGTTTCCATAATCTTTGATTTGCTGCAATTCAGGTACACAGGCAGGGATTCTCAAGTTTGATCATTTCAAGCTACATTGTGAGCTCTGACTCACGATAGGGGCAATTCTGAGAAATCTAAATTATTAATATATTCATTACACATATATTGATTTTCTGATGCATGACTATCACTTAAATAGAAATTTAAAAATACAAGAGTTTACTTGCCTTTTAAGTGATAAACACGTATTTATTTCTTTATTCTTTCCCTAAGTCAGAGAAAGTGTTTTTCTAAAAATTGGTGGGTGTTTTTTAATCTCTTAAAAGATTCATCCAAAAAAAAGCAAAAACTTACTTACTTTGATGCATTAAGTGATTCTTAGAAATAAAATGCCTTCACTCCCCTTCATTTGTGTGAAAGAATGATTTATATGCTTTTCCACCTATAAAGTTTTCCTAATGTAATTCAGGTACATTTCATTGCTGGAGCTATGTTTGATTGTATACTATACTGTCAAGATATAGAAAGTGTGATTTTTCATTTAGGTGTACAAAATTATATTCAAAAAATTTTTTTGTCAGAATGAATTTAAATGTGAAAGAAAAGTGCTTAACCTAAAATTGTAATATCATAATGTATATTCATGTTAAATTGATCAGAATCTTTGCTGATAAAAATGTATTTTAATACCAATAACAGGATATGAGAATGTATACTTTGATGTTATGAAATCTTTTACTTTAAAATCAAACTACAGGGAAAAAAACCACAATCTGACTGTACTCTAGTTTTTGAGAAAGCAAATTTGAAGTGGTTCAGAGGAAAGGTTCAGAGGTATGGTCTCATGGAATAAAATGCGTTTAGGGGGAAGTCAGCCAAAAAGGGATGGGAGAAGCTCAGTGATGAAATGCTGAAGAGAGAGAAAAAATTCCAGTCAAGTAGAAAAACGAATTTGGCAAACTCACAAATTACACATCCCCACCATTTGTGGGGATGTAAAAAACACAAGCAAATATTTCTGGGTCCTGGAGCTGCACATCTGTCCAACTATGTGTTAAAAAAGCCTTTAGAATTTCACAAGAAGCTATTCATTTTCTCTGGTCCAGCTAGTTAATTGCTACAATTAAGTTTAATGTCTTGAGGTGTTTGTTGACAACAGGAAAAAACCCATGTACAAAAAAATATGGCAGCAGTAGTTAAAAAACAAACAATTATGCTACCCCCCCCCATTTCTCCATTGCAAGTATGTCCCTGAAGATTGAGGAATGTCTGGTTAATTAGTTATCAGGAATGACACATGAAGATTCCAAAACATAAAGAGAGATTTTTAAAGAGTGATATGGAATGATGAGGGCAGAATGAAAGAATAACATACATAATTATGACAGCTAAGTGAATGACAATTTTAAATGACCAGAAAAAGCAGATAAAAAATAGCATGGCTGGTAAAACATTATGGATTTGTAGGAGGGCTAGGTTCAAATTTTGATTACTGGCTCTGTGACCTTTAGCAAGTCAAAACCTCTGGATGATTCCTCATCTAAAGATGAGACACCTGGACTAGAATGAAACCTGTAATGTCCCTTCCAGCTCTAAATCAATGAACATTGGACAATACTGCTACTAAATTATGCGCGCCCAATCCCTATTTTAACAAACAGAAACTACCAAGGGATTATAGTACTTGACTAGAAGGCGTTACTACTCAGGAACACTCATTTATCATATTTCATTAATTTTTTGACATTTCTTTTTAAAATTGTAATATTAAATTGCTGATTCGATCCCTTCCTCCATTCATTCTCCCAACCACTGAGAAGGCAAGAAATACAATACCCATCATACATAAGTTATGTAAAATATATTTATGTATTAGCCATATTCCAGGGAAAATAGCATTAAACAAAGGAAAAAATATGCTTCAATATCTGCCCTCTGAATCCATCAGTTCTGTATTTGGAGGAGGACAGTATTTTTCGTGATGAAACCTTTGAAGTTGTGGTGGATGACTGCATTGATCAGAGTAGCAAAGGATTTTCACAGTTGTATTTTCTTTACATTAGTTTATCATATAGACTTACTGGTTCTGCTCATTTCACTGTACTGATCACTTCTTATAAATTTCCCCAGGTTTTTCTGAAACCATCCCCTTCATTATTTCTTATGGAACAGCAATACTCCATCACATTTAATATTCTATAACTTGCTTAGGCATTCCTCAATTGATGGGCATCCCCTCGGTTTCAAATTGTTTGCTACTTGACAAGAGCTGACATAAAGATTTTTGTGCATATGGGTACTTTTCCTTTGATCTATTTGATACAGACCTAATTATGGTATTGCTAGTTCCAAGGTTAGGCACAGTTTTTTTAGCCCTTTGGGTATAGTTCCAAATTGTTCTCCAGAAAGGTCAGACTAATTCACAAATCACCAACAGTGCATTAGTGTCTCTATTTTTCCACAACCTCTTAAGCATTTGTCATTTTTCTTTTTTGGTCATCTTAGCCAGTCTGATGGGTAAGGTAATGAGGTAGTACCTCAAAGCTGTTTTAAATATCATTTCTCCAATTATTGCTGATTTAGAGCATTTTTCATGATTATTGAGAGCTTTGACTTTTTTCCTCTGAAAAATGCCTATTCTAATTCTTTGACCATTTTATTAATTGGGTGATGGCCCTCATTTTGATAAATTTGGGCTGACTTCCCTTTATATTTGATATATGAGATCTTTACCAGAAAAATTTGCTATCAAATCCCTTCACCCTCACCACTTGCTGCTTGTTTTGACTCTGTTGGTTTTGTTTGTGCAAAAACATTTTAATTTTATGTAAGAAAAAGTATTTCTATATATTTGAGAAATGAGGCCTTTATCAGAAACATTGCCTGTAAAAATTATTTCCCAGCTTTCCTTCTAATCTTGGTTGCATTGGTTTAGTTTTTGCAAAAAATTTTAATTTAATCAAAATTATCCATTTTGCATTTCAAAATGTTCTTTTCTTCTTGTTTGGTCATAAATTCTTCCCTTCTCCATAGATCTGACAGGTAAACTATTCCTTCCTCTCCTAATTTGCTTATGCTTTCACCCTTTATGTCGAAATCATGTACCCATTTTGACTTTATCTTGGTATATGGTGTGAGATGTTGGTATATGCCTAGTTTCTGCCATACTATATTCTAGTTTTCTTACCAGTTTTTGTCAAATACTGAGTTCTTATCCCAGAAGCTGGAATCTTTGGGTTTATCAAACAGCAGGTTACTACAGTTACTGACTACTGTGTCTTGTATACCTAACTTATTCCACTGATCTACCAATATATTTCTTAGCCAGTATGAAACAAGTTTTGATGATTGCCGATTTATAAAATAATTTTAGATCTGGTATGGCTAGGCCACCTTCCTTTGCATTTTTTTCCATTAATTCCCTTGATATTCTTGATCTTTTGTTCTTCCAGGTGAGTTCTGTAATTATCTTTTCTAGCTCCATAAAATAATTTTTTCAGTAGTTTGATTGTTATGGCACTGAACATGTAAATTAGTTTCATTAAACAATACTGTTCTAAGAACAACTTTGAATGAGTAAGTCATTTTGAGTATTACAGAATTTAAATCAACTACAAAGAACTCATGTAGGAAGATGGCATTCACCTACAGAGAAAGAACTAATAAATAGAAGAATGTATAGCTACGTTTTATATATACATACATATTTATTCCTAATGGTAGCCATTTCCAGGGCAGGGTGAG